GCGCTTCCCGACGTTGCGGACGCGCCGAACTCCCACCTTACCGCGCCCTCCCGGACCTGGCCCAGTGCGCCCTTCTCCCCAAACCCGAACACCCTGCCACCGAGCCGATTCCGACTTCATCTTCGGTTATTAATAATACCAAATCCAGTAAGTATTATAGGCACTTAGGGTGACCACATTGCAGACTCGTCGATCAAGCGTGGTGTCAGGGTGATGAGGGAGACTCGCTCAAAGAGGTCAAGGTGAAGTCAAGGTGAAAAAATGAAGTGGAGAGAAACGAAGAACAGCCCAGGAGGAAGTCACCGGAGCTGGGCAGGTGGGGCGGGAGGCTGATTTCTGTGTCTTAGGAGACAGTGAAGACCCCTGGTAATGTAGTGGGGTTGTATTTGAACCCACCAACAACTGGGCTCCGAGGGAGAAAGAGAAGGCTTTCTCCCATAAAGAGTTAGAGCCTTGGAAACAAGCCCAAAGGCGCAGTTCCAAACTATTCTGTTGGCTCCCTCTGGATGACAGTGGGTGGAGAGACCGAGGCCCTCACCCCCATTGATGCACACGGTCCTGTTCCCATAGAGCTGACTCCGACTCGGAGCTAACCTGTAGGACAGGGTAGAACTGACCCAGAAGGTCTCCCCGACTAGTCATTGGAAAATAGCCTGTCGCGGCATTCTCCTGCCGCAGTGAGGCCGCTTGGTTCAAGCCACCCTTTGGGTTAGTATCTAAGAGCTTTAGCCACTGCGTCACCACGGCTCCTGCTGGAATCCTTACCGCTCTCCTGCATGTCATTTATCCCAGAGCTGTTTCTCAGCTGGGCAGGTGTTTGAAACACACAACCCAGTGTTCCTGTAACAAGGGTCGAGGATGACCTGCCCCTGTTTCAGCCAGATAGAGACCAAGTTGATTTGAGGAAAGTCTCTGTTTATTCTGCAAGTCTGAAGGACACTGCCAGGTTTGCTGCCTCCAAACTGCTTTGAAAATCCACTGAAAATCGAGCAAATTATAGACCTCAAACTGACAAAAGACCGAGCTTGCAATGAATGCAGGAAACAAGTACATTAGGGTTTTCTAAGGGCAGACCACTATCCCCTGAAGCACTGTGCTCCACTGCTTATCTACATGGTGGGAGATACTCCCTGGCCTGGTTACCTATCCTAATGCCTTACTGACCAGCTTCCAAATTAAACTTACAAGGAATCCTTACTGCAAGGTTGGAGGTTGTTACATTTTGGATTTCCAACAACTAAATCTGAAATTATATTCCCAGTTTTTTGATTAACAAGCTAACTCACCTACTCTATCATAACTCTATTGTAAGTTAGAAAGCAGGACCTAACTCTTCCATCACTGTGTACATGGTAAAGGGAGAAAAAAAATTGCTGCTGGCAGGAGGGAGAGAGAAAGAAGGTCAATATTCTTACAAAGTCTCCACTGATAGGCTCTCTAGATGTGGTTTTCATTGCCCCAGAAAAGGCAAATTCCTTACAGATGCTGACAATCAGAATAGAATATCCTCCCTTGATTATCTGATCTAAAAATAAACTCCATGAACTATGCAACCTTGCCGAGAAGCAGTTGATAATGACACCACACCTATGCCTCCTCTATCTCACACTCCAATGGGGAAGCTCCTCCCAGGTGCTTCCGTACTGCCCATCCTCTCCCTCTCACTGATGAATGGTTTTGACCAGCTCCTGAACAGAAAGACGTGAAACCTGTAGTTGCAGGTTGCTAACCTACCTTCTTCCCTGGCTATTCCTTACATCACAAAATAAGCACAGCTCTTTCCAAAAGGGTCACAATACTTGAAGTAGCTGACTTGTGCCTCTCTTTCTCTTGGATGGAACTAAACATGGAATTTGCCTCTGTAATTTTCCTTTTTCTAAGTTTCCATTGTAGCCCCTTCCCTCTGCTTTCTCCTGCATCAGTTTTCCATCTGGTGCTTTTGTTAAATGTTCAGTCTGACATCATTCGGGCATGTACACTATTTAATACTTTTAAATAATTTTTAAAAATCATTTTATTGGGGTCTCGAACAACTCATCACAACCCATACATACATCCTTTGTATGTCAAGCACATTTGTACATTTGTTGCCCTTATCATTCTCAAAACATTTGCTTTCTACATGAGCCCTTGGTATCAGCTCCTCAGTTTTTCCCCTCCCCGCTCCCCCCTCTCTCACGAACCCCTGATAATTTATAAATTATTATTTTGTCATATCTTACACTGTCCGACATCTCCCTTCACCCACTTTTCAGTTGTCTGCCCCCAGGGAGGAGGTTATAGGTAGATCCTAATAATCGGTTCCCCTTTTCTATCCCACCTGCCCTCCAACCTCTGGTATCACCACTCTCACCACTGGGCTTGAAAGGATCATCTGTCCTGGATTCCCTGTGTTTCCAGTTCCTATATGTACCAGTGTACATCCCCTGGTCTAGCCGGATTTGTAAGGTAGAATTGCTATCATGATAAGGTGGGAGTGGGAAGGAAGCATTTAGGAACTAGAGGAAAGTTGTATCTTTCATGGTTGCTACACTGCACCCTGACTGGCTGGTCACTTCCCTGTGACCCTTCTGTAAGGGAATGACCAGTTGCCTACAGATTGGGTCCCCAATCTGCACTCCCCTCACTCACAATGATATGATTTTTTTGTTCTTTGATGCCTGATACCTGATCCCTTCGATGCCTCATAGTCACACAGGCTGGTGTGCTTCTTCCATGTGAGCTTTGTTGCTTCTGAGCTACATGACCGCTTGTTTACCTTCAAGCCTTTAAGACCCCAGACGCTATCTCTTTTGATAGCTGGGCACCATCAGCTTTCTTCACCACATTTGCTTATGCACACATTTGTCTTCAGCGATCGTGTCAAGAAGGTGAAATGCCAATTTAATAGAACAAAGTGCCCTTGCATTGAGGGAGTACTTTAATGATTATTTTTATGTATTATAGCTTTGCTCCTATATGTTGGTATTTAACATGGATATCAATTTGTTTCCTTATACACCCTGCTCTTCTAACATGAAGCAGTTACATCTCCAACTCCCCCCTTTTTCCGTCTATTTTTTGGTGTATATATACACAAAAATATATTCATATATCTAGAAAACCATCTTAAACCATTCCTAGAATCAAGCTTCCATTATATTTCTTATCCTACCCACTTGTCCTTAAGTTTCAACTCATAGCAACCCTATATGGGTTTTCAAGGCTGTAAATCTTTCCAGAAGCAGATAGCCTCAACTTTCTCCCCCAGAGAAGCTGGTGAGTTTGAACCTCGGACCCTGTGAATAGCAGTCCAATGCTTGCTTTACCACCAGGGCTCCGCTTTTTTCATCACAGTAGCCTCCAATTACTTACAGAATTTTCTTGCTTAGAAATGGATAGAACTGGGGGCGGGGTGGGGGGCGCAGCAAAAAAAGAAAAAGAAATGGATAGAACTCTGACTGAACGTTTCCAGCATGAATATTTTCTCTCCCTGTCACTCATTTATTCATTAAGCATGTTTCTTAAGTATATGTTATGCATTAGGTTCAGTAGTTGGTAGGTGTCGTCATGTCGGTCCAACTCATAGCAACCCTGTGTACAAAGTCATGCCTGACCCTGTGCCATCCTTAGAGTTGTTCTTATGTTTGAGCCCATTGTTGCAGCCACTCTGTCGATCCAACTTGTCCAGAGCCGTCTTCTTTTTTGCTGCCACTCGACTTTATCAAGCATGACATTCTTTTCCAAATAACATATCAAAATTACAGGGGATGAAGTATCAACATCCTTGCTTCCAAGGAGCATTCTGGCTGTATTTTTTCCAAATCAGATTTGCTTGTTCTTTTGTTAGTCTTTTGTATTTCCAATATTATTCATAGCAGCATAAAATTCAAATGCATTGATTCCTCTTCCATCTTCCTTGTTCAGTGTCCAACTTTTACATGCAAAAGAAGCAATGGAAAATACTATGGCTTCAGTCAGGCACACCTTAGTCCTCAAAGTAACATCCTTGCTATTCAACACTTTCAAGAATTCTTGTGCAGCAGATTTATCCAACGCAATGCCTCATTTGATCTCTTGACTGCTACTTCAATGAACATTGATTGTGGATCAAAGCATGACAAAATCCTTGACAACTTCAACTTTTTCTCAGTTTATCATGATGTTATCAGTAGCTCTCTTTATTTTTTTTTCTTTTCCCCCAATAGCTTTCTTTATA